CACACACACACACACACACACACACACACACACACACACACACACACCTTGGCACTAAGAGACTGACACAAATGTCAGAACTGGAAGGGACCCCTTGAGAATCATATCGTTTATTCCATCGGACCCCTTGTTCTACAGATGGAGAAACTGAGGCCAAGACTTGTGTCGAAAGCCACATTCTATAAAGTATAGAATGACATGCAGTGTCGAAAGGGAAGTCTGTACCAACAGATGAGAGAAACTCTTGTTTCCTGATGGCCCTGGGAAGACATGTGCTATGCTCCATCACAGAGGGGCTTAGCAGGGATAGGCGTCTGTGACCTGACTTGGCAAATATGGTTTCAATTATCAGAGCTCCAAAATAGAGTTTGGAAGACAAAATACAAACTGCAGCAGCCGCCAGAGCCCAGCTGCTGGCTTGGCTTTTTTGAGCGGTTACATTTTCCACTAGGTAGAGGACATTTCTTTTTTAAAAAGGTCTGCGTGAGGAAAGCAGAAGATCACACAGACAGATGGGCACCCAGAGCTTCCAGGTTACATACCTCCCCCTCTGCCCCTTTCCCCCCTTTTCTTTTTTTTTTCTTTTCTTTTTTTTTTTAGGCAATTGGGGTTAAGTGACTTGCCCAGGGTCACACAGCTAGTAAGTGTGAAGTGTTTGGTCTGAGGCCGGATTTGAACTCAGATCCTCTTGACTTCAGGGCCAGTGCTCTATCCACTGCACCACCTATCTGCCCCCATCCACTGTGCCACCTAGCTGCCCCCCTCCCTTTTCTTCCCTTTGGAAGGTTCCCTTTGGAACCTTCCAAGCAGGTTCCAAATCACTAGATGAACAGTTCTCTTTGGGGCTTTGGTGTCTAAACCTTATTGGGTCTTTCTGGGAGACTTCTGTGCTGCTGTATGGGAAGGGGAGATGAGAGCCAAGGCAAATCATCTCCCCAAATTCTGAGGAGGAGCCAGAAGCACAGCCATAGGAGGGCGGACCTCTGTGCAGCTGACTCCTTGTGTAAACTGAGGATTATAAAAGCAGTCAGTACCGACCTCCTCCTCCTCCTCTGAACATATCTGACCTCTGCTATCAAGGAGCTGAAGAAAAGATCTGTATCATCATGACACCCTCTTGGAGTCTAACTTGTGGCAAAGCTTATTTGAGTCACATTCTATGGAGTTTGAAATTCGTCCCCTCCCCACCTGGAAACCAGAAGACAATCAGGTTGGATGTCATGGGAGAAGAAAGCATGCTGGTGGAAATGGACAGTGGCGAAGTCTCCCAAGGGCATGGCTGGCTTGCCCCAGACATCCCCACTAAGTGTCCTTTTCCTAATCCAACAGTCCTGTCTGACTAATAGGAATGAGGCAGACTTAGACTCAGCCTGGCGTGTAAGGCCCTCCACAAAGGCTTCATTATTCCTCTTGAGGCTCCTACTACTGGAAGAGATACAGAGGTCATCCTCAAACTGAGGCACGGAAGAGAACGTAGACTCCCTGGCATAGGGGGCATCGGGGGCAGGCTCTGAATCATGTGTGGGCTATTGAGAGGCGTTGATAGTTGAGGGCAGGCAAGGGGGAATGAGGGAGCACCATTCTAGATTTAAGGGACCTATTGTGAACAAAGGCAGAGTTAGGATAACGCAGGCCATGTCTGAGGGACAGAGGAGGGCAGTAACTCGAGAAACTGTGGAAGGCCTTGAATGATGGACAGAGGAGCTCGTACTTTATGCTATAGGCAAGTGGGAGCCACCAAAAATTCCTGAGCAATGGGGGAAATGAGGTCAGAACCATATTTTACGGTCCTTATATCAATAACCTGTATAGATTATTGGATGGTTATTGTTCCTGGATGTGAAGGGAAAACAATACTGAAACAAGACCTGTACGGAGACTGGCCCAAGCCAGAGGTGATGAAGGCCTGACCACAGGTAGAGGTAACAGATGCAAGAGAAGGAACCGATGGGATTCAGTGGCTGTCTACTAATCCAGGGTGAGCAGGACATGAAGCTTCACAAATGAGGATGATCAGGCCCCGTGGAGGAAGGAAGGGATTTGTGCTACTTATGGGAGAGAAGGTATTAGGTATCTGAATCCAGGCCTCCTAGCTCCCTGTCACAGAGGTGCCATTATCATCCCCATTATACAGATGAGGAAATTGGAGGCAAAAAGAAATTAAGTGACTTGTCCAGGATGACAGAGCTAGTAAGTGCCTGAGGCTGGATCTGAACTCCGGTCTTCCTGACTCCAGGCCCCTCATTCTGTCCCTGGCTCTAGCTAGCTGGTTTTGAGGAATGAATGAGATTATATTTGTAAAGCACTTAGCACAGTGCCTGGCACACAGTAGGTACAAAGTGTTGAAGATGGAGACAAATAAGTGAGAAAGAGGGAGAAAAAAATACTATTTCTTCTCTGGCCCCGCCTTTGTCCAGGACCTGGCTACGAACCTTGAGGACAGTGACGTATGGTGTTCCATCGGGGCCATATTTGCTGCCGTTCACCTCCACGTGCTTCAGCCACTGAATGTGGGGCTGCGCATCGCTGTACACCTTACAGTGGAATTCCACGTTGCTCCCCACGACCACAGTCTGATTGGCCGGGAGGCCGGCCTGCAGAATGGGCCGGTGTGGGGATCTCTCTGAAAAAAGACCAGAGAGGACCCAGCTCTAGACTTGCGGTTGGTAGGGGCGCTCACTCCCAGAGCCCTTCTCCACTAACCTCGGGGATGCCTCTCCCACCCCTGCCCACCACTCCTCCAAATACATACCCTGAACACAAATACAACCGTCAAATCCATATGCCCACTCAGCTGGCCAAGAAACTGAGGCTTGGAAGACTCTAGGAGGTACAATCAGGGAATGTCAGAGTGGGGGGTAAGACTCACCCAGGACATCCAGCGTGTATGTTTGCTGTATGCTGCCATACTTGTTCTCCACCACGCAGGTGTAGTTCCCTCGGTCGGAGGGCACCACGCTCTCCATGACCAGACTCCACTGCTGGTGTCTCAGCTATGAGAGGGGCCAATGGGAAACAGTGAGGTCATGGGCAGATCTCTCCGAGGGATGGACCACGGAACATCAGAGTTGGGAGGGACCTCAGAAAGGAGACTCTCCGATCTGGGGGGCTCTTGGAGGCCATCTGGTCCAACCCGCTCATTTTATAGAGGATGTCCAGAGACAGGAAGTGATTGGCCCAAGTCAAATAGTGAGACTAGAACCCAGGACAGCCCAGCCCTGATCTGCCTTTGATGAAAGAAAATGGCACTTTGGGGACTTTCCAAATTATACCCATCCTTCAAGGCCAACCTTGGACAGGGGGGACTCTTCCATGAAGCCTTCCCTGATCTTCCCTGCTAGGAATGATTTCTACCTTCTTCCCAGGGGTGCTTTGCTTGTTTTAAACATCAGATTTGGAGCACAAGGACCTGACTTTGAATTCCAGCTCTGCCATATACTATTTTTTTTTCTTTTTAAACCCTAGGGAGCTCCCAGAAAGGAATTCCCTCTACCAGAGCAGGTCTGGCACATCTTCTCCACAACTTACAGTCTGAGAGAATTGCTCAGGTCGTTGACAGGTTAAATGACCTTCCCATGGTCACACAGTCACCAGTATCAGAGATAGGACTCGCACCCAGATCTGTAGACCCCAAGGTCAGCTCTTTATCCACTATACCAGGCTGCCTTTCCTACTGGTTCAGCCTTAAGTTTTTGGTTTTGTTTCTTCTTCTATAAAATGACAAGCTTGGCCTCAATGACCTCAGAGGTCCCTTTGATGATGTTAATTATCCTACTTTGTATTGCAGGTATGGACCCTTTCTAGGCTCTTAGGGGCAAGGACTCTCTTATTTATCCCATCTTCCCCAAACACAGCAGATGCTGGGGATAATGAAGGGTTGCAGAGGGTACCAAACCCCAGAAAAAGTGTCTTACCTTAATTCCCCCAATCCGATGTTCTCCTTTGAACTCTCTGCCATTCTTCAGCCAGTAGATGGAGGGAGTGGGGTTGCCTGCAGCTGGACATCGGAAGCGGACTGTGTTTGCAGCTGGGACAGCGAGGAGTTTCTTATCCATTCGCTCAGGACGGGTCCAGTACGGGGCACCTGGAAATGAGAAAAAAAAAAAGATGGAAAAGATCAGAAGGTGGTGTTCTCTCCTCCTTCCATCACACCAAGACAAGCAGCTGAACCTCGTGACCTGAAGGAGTGAAGATGGAAAGGGGAAGGGCTAGAGACTTCATGGAGGGCAGAAAAACACATTGATCAAGGGACTGAGCTGCAAGAAAGCACAGAGCTCCAATCTAGTCTGACCCCTTTATTTTATAGAGCAGGGGACTGAGGCCCAGGCAGTGGAAGATGCTTGACCAAAGTCATCATCCAGGGAAGAAGGAGATAGCCAAACCAGGATTTGAACCCTGGTCCTTTGACGCCAAGCCCAGTGGTCTTCTGATCCACCAAGCAATAGGGAGGGCAGAAGTCTTATTAGGCAGGGCTCCCACCCTTGGGAACCCCAGAAGTTGGCTGGGGGGTCTGCTACTCACTGACTGCGTAGCTTGGGACAAGTTACCTTCCTCTCTAAATTATAATTTTCTTATGTGAGGAACGAGAGGAGTCAGATTCAATGATCTCTGAGGCCCTTTCAAGACTGGATATTTTTTGAGTCTGTGCTCTAGCATGCTTCGATGTATAGCCTTAGCAGAAGGCTTTGTACAACTGGTGAGACGATCAGGCACGAAATGCAGAAAGAACATGGAATTGGAGCCAGAGCACCTGGGTTGGCTGGGCAAGTCATGTTTGCTCTAGGCCTCAGTTTCCTCATGTGTAAAATGAGGGCTTTTTTTTTTTAATTGAAAAAATAACTCTAACTCGACAAACACCAAATAAAATGTCCATATACTTTGTAGAACAAACTAAGTCTGTACATGAAACCACAAATCTCTATTAGATAGAACGTGCATTTCCTTTGAAGTGTATATTAAATTCAACATGTAATTTTCAAAGCAAACCCGCTTGTCTGATTTCTTCGGCTTTTCTTCTTGTTCTACTCTCATTTATAAAATGAGGGCTAAGACTGGATGAAGGGCAGCTAGGTGGTACCATAGTGCATGGAGCTCTGGGCTTGGGATCAGGAAGACTCATCTTCATGAGTTCAAATCCGGCCTCAGCCACTTACTAGCTGTGTGACCCTGGGCAAGTCACTTAACCCTGCGTGCCTCAGTTCCTCATCTGTAAAATGAGCTGGAGAAGGAAATGGTAAACCATTCCAGTATCTCAGCCAAGAAAGCCCCAAAGGAGGTCACAAAGAGCTGGATACAACTGAAACGACCAAACAGAAAGACTAGATGACCTTTCTGTTGCCTTTCAGCTCTAAAATCTAACATCCCATGACCTTATGACTAGAACTGAATAGAAGATGAGGAGGGAGTATGTTATAGTAGAAAGAATGCTGAATTTTGAGTTTGTGGGCCTGGGTTCAAATCCTGGAAATGCCACTTGGTACCTATGTGACCTTGAGCAAATTACTTGACTTCTCTGGGCCTCAGTTTCCTCATTTGTAAAATGAGGTTGGACTAGATGATCTCTAAAGTCCCTTCCAACTCTACATCTATGACCCTTGTAATAGTTCTTTCCCACAGGGCTTTCAGGTTTACAAAGACCGTTAGCCCTTTCCTCGAGGACTAAATACTTATAAGATGAGGAGTGTTATCCCATCACACAGATGAGGAAACTGGAGGCTCACAGGTTAAGTAATGTGCTCAAGGTTACATAGTAAGTGCCAGAGGCAGAGCCTGAACTCTGGGCCTTTGACTCCAAAGCTGTGGCTTTTCCCAATGCACCACATGCTCTCTGGCCTCTCAGTTCTGGTCTGTTCCTCCAGGACACATGGCAACCTCCTCTGGTTCCCCTTGGCTGCTGAGGCCTGCTGAGGCAGGCACCTGGATGCGGGGACTGAGAACAGAACAGAAGCCAGCTCCCCTGGGAGTCAGAGGCACCGTGCCCAGGGAGCATCGCAGAGAGCCTCTGCGCCACTCCCTGCAGGGGTGCGGCTTTCCCCAAGCTGCTGGGGGAGGCCACCTCCCTCTCATTACAAATCCTAACAGCCAAGGGAGCCCTAATGATTTTATGGGTTTGCACACTTTTTAATATCTTCTCACAGTGCTGCTGGGTGTGCCTGGCCAACAGAATCTGTCCTACTGAGGCCTCCCCCCACCTTGCCCCACCCTGATGGGCAGGAGTATCCTGGCTCAGGCAGAGCACATCTTGTCAGAGAGTGGAGCCCAAGGGGGCGCATACCCCATTCCCTGTGCGGAAGGAGTCCCTGGTGTTAGTGCTCTGGGGCCCTTCAAAGAGAGGCTGACTGAGGAATTCCTACATCAGAAGAGAACCTTGCTGAGCTGGCTTCCAGCTTCCTCCCAGACTCAACTCAAGCACCCCCTCTATACAACTGCCCTCAGCTGCTTCGTGCCCCCTGACTACCTTGTATTTATTATATATGCATACATATACACACAATATATACATGTATGTGCAAACATCTACATACACATGTATGTGCAAACACGCAATAGATATATACAAGCAAAGTGCCTAAACACATGTAATATACAAATGCACACTGCACATGCATGCATACATACACAAACACAATGCACATATATGTACACACATCTAATCATACACATGTGCATATGCATAGCAATACACAATGAATATATGAACAATGCACCTAAATACACATATACACAATGCACCCAGTATACATGTGCACATGAATATGCACATATGTGCAAAAATATGTGCGTGTACGTGTGCACATAACACACTGTGTATATGTTCACACATACACGCACACAAATACACATGGATGAATACTATACTATAAACACACACATGTACACACATGTACACAAATATATGCAAACATGTGTGCTGTCTCCCCCATTTAGAATGAAAACTTGGTTGAGGGCAGGAGAATTTTTGCTTCTATCTTTGTATCTCTAGTGCCAGGCACACAGCAAGTTCTTAATAAATACTTAGTGATTGACTTAACTATTATCACTAAGTTTCGTGGCTATGGGCAAGTCGTGGAACGTCTGAACCTCCATTTCCCCACCTGTAAAAGAAGGGTTTTAGACTAGCTGACTTTAGCATTCTACTCCTGAACCCATGATTCCCCAGGCTAAGTGTCATAAACACGCCTCAGTTTCCCCAAACCAAAGGTGATGATTCTGCTATTCCAGCCTAGCTAGCAACTACTCCCCTGCCCTCTAATCCCCGCCCAGTCTTAGACGTGAGCAGGAGTGCTGATCTAAGCCTTTTTACAGCCTGGTTTTTCTCCTTGCATTTGGAGGCAATATTGTCTTGTTTAGCACTATTTTGGGGTTAGGCAATATTCACAGACAGGCAGAGCTGGCAGAGGCACGGGCCAGAGGAGATTTGTTCTATCTTTAAAGACCTGGAGATTCGCCTCTATTTGACCTCAGACCATCATCCTACTGCCAGGGACTGGGCCTGGTCATCTCACCAGCAGGACTGCCCACTAAGGATGTTACTGATGGAAGAAGCAAAAAGCTTTTAGGTACAAATGTACTCCTAAGAGCTCTCCTCTTAACAAATAGCAACAGACTGGAAACAGATCCAGGTGGATAACATTTGGGGAGCAGATGAACACACTGTGGTTCCCCAATAGAATGGAGTGCTATTGTGTCATAAAAATGAGAGAGATGATGAAAAAAAGACACGGGGGGGCGGGGAGGATACAAACGAAGGGGTGCAGAGCGAAGAAAAGAGAAGTGAAACGTACACATGGCCTCCAACCATGTAAACAGCAACAGAATCCAGAATACACAAAGGAACAAGAATTCAGCAGGGGATACACAAGCCAACAGGAAGCTCATTAGTATTTTATTAAAGTTAATAGACATATTTTTAAAAAACTCCAAATGGAATTTGTTTTCACATATAATTCCTTAAAATCTTCTAATTTTTGTCTCTGTATCCCGTATCTGAATCGCTAAATTATTATGCTTAGAATAATTTAAAAAGCAAAAATAAATGTAGAAACCCCAACAAAATATTCCACTGAGCTCGCCCGTCTCTAATTCCCTCTGCAAACACTTCGAGGTTAATCTTTCTAAAATGCTGTTCTGAGGCCCCTGATCAGAGGCCTCTGTACAAGATAAACTGCAGTGCACACTGAGCCCCTCTCCCTTCTTAGTTCCCTTAGCCCTTACTGTGTGCACCCCACAAGTGAGCACCTAATTTTATTGTGTTCAGTGTTCTCAGTTGTGCATTCCCAGTTTTGCCTCTACCCATCAGACTGAAAGCCCCCTAAAGACTGTGTTTAGGCCTTTTGAGAATCTCTCAGCACAGAGAAGCAAGTTTGGGATAGATTCCCAGAACTCTAAAAATTCACCTTTTCAAACAGGCAGCGGCTAGGTGGCCCAGTGGATAGTGCTGGGCCTGGAATCAGGAAGTTTATTGTTGTGCAGTTGTGTCCAACTCTTCATGACCCTATCCGGGATTTTCTTTTTTTTTTTTTTTTAATTTTTTAGGCAATTGGGGTTAGATGACTTGCCCAGGGTCACACAACTAATAAGTGTCTAAGGCTAGATTTGAACTCAAGTCCTCCCGACTCCAAGGCCTAAGCTCTATCCACTGAGCCAACTAGCTGCCCCTCTGGGATTTTCTTGGTGAAGATACTGAAGTGGTTTGCTAGTTCCTTCTCCAGTTCATTTTACAGATAAGGAAACTGAGGCAAACGGGGTGACTTGCCCAGGATCACGCAACTACTTAGTATCTGGCTGGATTTGAACTCAGGCCTTCCTGACTCCAAGCCCAGTGCTCTATCCACTATATTACTGAATCAGAAAGACGGTCATTCAAATCTGATCTCAGACGTGTTGTGACCGTTGGAATGTTTAACCTGTATTTGCCTCAGTTTCCTCAACTATAAAATGAGGGTCATAGTAGCATCTACCTCTCAGAGTTGTTATGAAGATCAAATGAGATGATATTTGTAAAGTGCTCAGTATACAGTTGGTGCTATACTAATGCTTAGTCCTTTCCCCTTTCAAATAGGTGCCTTCTCTGGGGCTTCCTTT